AACTAAGACAAAGCTTCTTAAAATGCACCTATGATAGAATTCCTTTTTGATGCTACAGAACACAAAGTTCTATTAAACATGTCTTATAAAAGCATAGTTTTGCTGTTCTTGGAACAAATGAAACAGCTGCTAGTTAAATACCATTAATGATCCTGGCTTAACTCTCCTATCACGGTCACCTCTGCTGCCTTCCCACATGCCCCCAACTTGTTCACTGTTATATCATCAACTATTCAATTATTCTCATACCTTACTTTTGCCACAATATCTCAAGACTTTTGTCAAGGGCCTCTTCTGTTTTTCATCTGCAAACTTTCAGAACACTTTGGAACTTTGACCCATCTAAACCTCTCCAAAGTTTGTTTAAAGTCAGCTGAAATTATTACAGGACAGATGGACATATGTTCTAAATCTCAGTGCTAAGAATTCTTAGTGAAAAGCTAACATTCCTATTATAAAATTCTAGCCAGAGATAAGTTTTCCAATGCCTTAGTTACCTTTTTCTTACGATTCCCACTTTCACGCTGCACTGCTTTCATTACGTGAACCAGTCGATCTACAAACGTCTGCTGGGCTGCCAACAATGAACGCATAACTCTGACAGACTTATCACCCTAAGTGAATTAAAAGAAACAAAATTAGTTCTTTGTTCTGTAATTATTTTATCTAGAAATTATTTTTTTTTTATTCTTAGACCTTTGGGCTTTTAAGAAGCAAGTGAATAACAATCAATATCCTGTCAATTCAAAAGGTACTTTCTGTAAAGCACAATCAGAATCACTGTAGCTGGCAATCAATTATCTGACCTACCAGTGCACTTCAATTTGCACCAACAATTTCTGTGGCAAACAGTCATGCGTGACAAACCTATTCACACAGCCAAACTAAGTTAGTAAGGATAAGCACATGAAACACTTGAGAAGCATATGAGTCAGGTTTTAATAATATCCTTGAAATGGGAATTAATATGAAGTGAGAGATGCACAAAATCAGGAAAGACTGCATATCTTCTATAAATTATAATTACAATCCACAAAAGCGGCTTCTTTGTTTCGCTTTTGCTTTTTCTTTCCCTGCTGCTCCAGCACCCTCTGCTGCTCATACACTGAACAACACTGCTTGTGAATTCACAGGATAGGCCTCTCCTCTCAACTTGAACTGCAAGGACAAGCACTTCCAATAAAGAAATAGTAAATAAAATAGACACAAGGCAGAGGATTTCAGGCCCAGCACCTTACAAAGGGGAACAAGCAATAAAACACAGGAAAGAGTTTGCAATACTTGTTCTTTTCTTTTTCAGTAGTTTCTTTGTTTACCACAAACTAAAAATACAAGTGAAAGTGGAAGCTTTTTAAAAATTTCAATATATATGACAAAACTTACAATCCTCCTAGACACCTGTGCCTTTTTAAAGAACGACTGTTCCAAACCACTATGTATTTCCTTACACAAAGGTATTACCTTCAGCAAAGCCTGACTAAATCTTCTCATCACATTTAAGTACATTTCATGAGTCTTTGGGTCCCTCTGCTGTGTATCTTGGTCTTCGCACTCCACTATAACATACCTGCAGCATAAAAATAACCCAAATTATGCTGTACTCGGGTGCTAGACAATTTGAGTGAAATACAGCAGCCCTGTATTTTAGGCCTGGAACTAAAAATAAAGTTGATCTTTAAATAAGATATCAACCAACAAGTGAACTCTTAAAAACTACACAGTCAAATTCCCGCTAGGATCAGGAGTCTACTAGTTTCTGAGCTCTTTCACTTATAGTGAAGTGGCATCACTCAAACACGACAAATCAGAAGTCTAAATCATAAGAACACCCCAACCAAGCAGCATGTGTAGGAGGAGTGGGCATTCCAGGGTGCTGCTATCCTCTACATAATGTAGTGGCTGCAAGCTTGCTATTTAAGTATACCTGCAAAAAAAAAGAAGAATCTCACCCTACTTGTCCCCTGTTTTACTGTCAACAATGGTGGAAGAGATTATCTTGGTTCTGAAGCAGCCCTGCAAAGCCTACATTTCAAAGTAAGTTTTCATTTCTAAAATTATGATTCAGGTACAAGATTTAAACAGTACAATTTAGGACCGCTATACTGAAAATTTATTCTTATATGGACAGCAGTTGTTTGGAATGTTTTTGTGTTTATTTCTATTCACAGCACTGCCATGCAAAATGTAGCTATGCACAGAAGGTCTTCTTTCTGTTGATCAGCATATATCTCAGTAAAAACATATACCCACACTATGAATAAAAAAAAGGAAAAAATTAACAAGTTAGTTATTTTCAGACACTGCATTTGGATTCACAAGAGACTCTACACACTCAAACACACTTGCACTTTATGCTGACAGCCAGAATTACCCCTTCCTTACACACTTGTGCGTAATCTTTTTGCAAATGAATGATTATTGGACAAGATCAGTGGTCTGTCACTTGCAGCTGATCAGATTTGACTAGGCTTAGCCATAAAGAAAGAATATATTACATGCATTGAAATACGGCATACGTATCTTATTCCATGAATATTAGCTCAATGAAATCTGTAAATAAAGATTGCTTTTAGAACTTCATTCTACACTGTTCTCTCAGTAAATGACAAAATTAGATTGCAGTGCATAAAAATAAGTCCACATTTAGAAAGCCTGCGAAGTAAAACTTCAAGGAAAACAGGAAGTAATGAATCGAAACATGCCATTTTCATCTTCATTTGATAAAAAGCCCTAGATAGTTTCTCAAAGCTATCTTGAGACAAGGAGTAAGAGTAATACTTCATACTTGGATAGGTGTCTCATATTTCCAAAGAGACAGAAAAAAACCACAGCAGCACTGACTTCTGTAGATGCTGCTAAAGTTTAAGGATAGTATAGCTTTACAATGACAAGTGACTGAGCAGGAGGTTTGATTTTCAAGGGTTATTGTACTTTTTTCATTGATTATTTTAGGTGCACGCTGTGTCTGGACAGTTGAAACAAGCCATTGATCAGAAGCCAAGAGGATTTATGGCTACATCAGCTCAAACAGTGGCTGCAATATTTGTATTTTGTCACTGAGAAATTGAGATGTCTAGAAGGAAAACAAAGAATAAATTGACTGAGGTTTTTTTTTTGTTTGAGGTTGTTTGGGGTTTTTTTAGTCATAAGACAAAACCTTCAGACTTCTGGATGCTTTGAACTTTCTGTACACAAAGTCTGAGGTGTTGCTGAAATGTTAAATGCACAGTTTCTATCAATGTGACAGAAGTAAGCTAACCAACTAACACTTATCTTAAATGAAGAATATTTTATCAGGTCAAGCATTTGGCTTCTAACCACATCAATTAGGCCTGCAATTATTTTAATAACATAAGTTTAACAGCACTTCCTTCTGAAGCCAAGCATTATCTTTGGCCACTACAATAAAAGTATGTGCACTAAGGAACTGTAGCTAAGTCACGCACTTAAATATTTTAAATTCAAGCTACTGAGAAAGCAATGAAATAAGAAAACTTAACAAGACATTTACAAATGGCCTAACTCTCAGGGTAAGTAAGGACTCTTGTAAGAACTTTCCAAGAACAGTTCAGTAGGTTTACACTACATATCAGACTCTGCTCCTAATTCACAACTTATCTGTAGTTAATATTTATATTAACATATGATAATGTGTATTAGATTTTTTAATTATTAGATACATATACAAGTACAGAAATGAGAATCACTTAAGTTTAGCCATGTAAAAGGCACTTAAGCTCTTTATTTTAAAATGTGTGTACGTACAAGTAAATAGCTCCATGTGTTGTGTATATGCATATATATATTTACATTAATATATACACATATAAACACATAATTGGAGTACAGCTTTATTCATCTCAGCTTTCTTCAAGTGAGAATTCCTATCTGCAAATGCTTATTTCAGAAGGCATGCAGATGACTGGTTTAGGCATCAAATTTAACTCTTAAACCACTGAAGTGAGACAAGATCCTTCGCTGAGTCACCTTACCTCTCCACTATCTAGATGAACCATTCACAGGTAAAGTCCCCACTTAAAAAAAACACACATCTGCAATATTTTGCTATATATATATAGAGAGAAAATAACCACAAATGAAATAAAAAAAATAATTAAATTAGCACACAAAAAAACTAGTGCTTTGCGAACTTTCGCGAAGTACACTCTCGCTTAATACTAAAGCGCATAACCTTAATGTTCTCGCCAACACTGTCAAAAGCTAAACACAAACCAAACAGAAAACCAAACGGAAGATGAGAACTTTCTCTCTTTCCCATCCCCATAAGCAATTTGAATAAGAACTTAAACTATAGTTAGGCTTCTGAGGTTTTGTTTTGTTTGGGTTTTTTTTTTTTGGTTCAATTTTGGTTTTGTTTTTTTTTGGTTTTCGGTTTTCTTTGAAAACTGTACTTAATGCTTTATAAATTACCTTCCTTTGTCTACCAGTAGAGCATACTTATGCATTTTAAAAATCAGCACCCTCCTTTTACTAATTGTTCTGTTCAAATGAATATTGTTTTAACATCCTGAGAGAAACTGAAATTCTCACATTCTCAAGACAGGTCACCTTCTGCTGCGGTCATTTTAGCTTTGATTTCAATTAAACATTGATACAGTTCAAATAAATAGTTTCTAACATACCAGTACAAGTAGTTTGCCAACGTGGAATTTTTGCACGCTCGTGATATCAAGAAAGTACAAAGGTCTTGCTGGAAGAGGTTTAAGAAAAGCAAAATTTAGTTATAAAGAAGTCCAAGCACTTGAGAGAGAAGCAAAACTAAAGACAACCCAAAACAATTGTAGGAAGTTTTGAGAGATAAGTTCCTTTAGAAAATCTGAACCCAATCCAATATTTAAGTCATTTAAACCATATTAGTTTTAATATTACTCCAAATACAGCAATAACGCTACAAGTAAAAAAAGGTCTGCTACTGCAGTAATATATTTACCAGCACATCAAAAGTATATGATGTTTTCCAACAATAAACCTTTAATGTAACATTGATATCTACAATATACTACACTTTCCTTTATGCAAATATCTCTTGCTTTAAGATTCAACTCTGAAAGGGATTTGCTACCCTGCTTTGCATCCAGAGGATCTAAAACTCTAAGATATTCTGCATTTTAACATGAAGACAAAAAAATGTGTAGAGGATACACAGCATTGACCACATTTTTTCAAGGTTTAATATTCGAATTAACAAGAAAATTGTGTATCTTTCCGTTCAATTTGAGGTTTATTTTCCATGCAGTAGAGAGGTTCAAAAAGGAAGATCTGCAACAGAGAATGGATCTTCAGTTCAAAGACTAATTAACTGCACATCAGAGTGAAATCACATTCCCCTCAAACTGTCTTTACCTTCTATCTTCCCTTTCCTCCAGTCCCATTCTTATTACTCTTCTACCTGTGGTATAAATTTGGGTATAATTCTTAGTAGATGTAAATCAACACTTAAGTTAAAAATTAAAAAGGAAAAAAAAAAAGACACCCATACCACGGGATATGGCTTTCTGCAGATTGCAGAGATTAAAACATTTAACCATTTTCCATTAAAAAAATCCGCTTTAGAGCGCCTCAAACACATGTAATTGTCAGTATCTAATCAGCATGTGATAGCCTTTGCAGCAATTTTCTCCTCTAAAGAAGAGTACTTTAATATTATGAAGAATTCAATGCCTAGTCTCCCAATTTTGGATAATGTAACCATGTACACAAATAGATGGCCTGTAAAGAAATTCAGTTAAGCTATTGCTATCTTCTTAACATTTAGTTCAGATTTATATTTTTGAGGACTTTAAGTACTCAGAAAGATACAGCAGAAAGATTCAAATATTCACAAACAAAAGCTAACAACAGTACCTAAGGTCACTGAAAATAGTATCAGGACACTAAAAAAAGTTGTCAAAAATACCAGGTAAAGCATTTGACTCACATCAAGGTTTTCATTGTCTGCAAGCTCCTTTGTCTTAGATGTAAGGGGTGGTGAGGAAACAGGTGGAACAGGAGTCATGATCTGGGAACTACATAAAGAAAAGCACGCAATTAACACGTTTCAAAGTTCTTAACTGGGGGTCAGAGGACATGCATGGAAATAGCAGTGCATTTTACTTCCACAGCGTAATTCCCTTCCAGTTTTCTGAATTATCTTTGAATCTAGCATCTCAACTCTGTTTCAGAATAGACTGCACGTACTGCAATACTGACAGCTGCAGTCCCTGTAAATGACAGAATACTGTGTCTGGATAGCTACGCAGTTTGTGGCTGTTACAGACATTCACCGACATCAAACTTAGCATTTTGTTTTATCTTCCATAAAAAGGAAGATATAGATGGGAATTTAGCAAATCCACATTTTCATGATAGGCTTTTTTGAAGTATTCTTAAGATGAAATTGCTAATACAGCACACCTGTAAGTACTTGTCTCTGGAACGCAATTACCCGTAAGAGAGTAGACAAACCCAGTGCTTGCAAGGCAAAATTATCAGACAGTAAATCTACCTGAAAGGAAGTAATCAAACAGCTCTACTAATGTCTAAGTGCTATTCAGCCTCAAAATACATCGTACATTCCAGGACATCCACTCTACATCTTAGCAGCAAGTTCAATGAAAAACAGTGTATGTGTAATACAGAAAGAACACCCCAGTAATACAGTAAGCCTCAAAATCCTGGAAATTTCTATTAAACATTCACAAGAGACTCCGGTTAACCAAGTTTGTTTGCACATTGCTTAATGCTGCATTAATTAGATATTTTTGCCTTTCTTTTGGATTCCTGAATCCTTTTGAATTCCTTTTGAATATGAAGTGTGCTCCCACAGCTCCTTTACATTCACAGGACTCTCCCTACACCATCATTTGCAGGAATTGGAAGAAAATTCTTTCCATTTCAGATTGCTCTCCTTTAGATCCATATTCTTCAATGAAAGTGGTCAGTGCAGTCCCGCACAGCAGCTTCACTGAAGACATCCTAACTTTTGCAGGGACAGCAGGAAGCAATGCCAGTGTTTTCCCTGCTCTCCAGAAGTTGTCTTCCTTTCACACAGTAAGGACAAAGGCCACAACTTTCAGATTAAGACTGTGTGCTCTGTGAAGTATTTGTGGTCAGGAAATACATTCTGTGAAAGTTCAGGGGTTTGTTTAGGGTTTTTCTTTTGTTTCTGTTTTTGTTTTTACTGAAACCACTTCAGATTATAAAATAGGATGTTAAATACGCAGCGGTTCCTAAAAAGTAGAAAGACTTTGAGGGCTTACAATGTTTCTGTTTCTGCTGGAAAACCAAGCTTCTTACCTGTCTATTTCTGCACCATTAGTTCCAGATGTTGCCATGCTTTCCGACATTGAACCTTGACTGTCTCTCTTGCTAGGTTCCAGCCCATTCTTTATGTCATCAAAGTTTTCATATTTCAATGCCTGGACTAACTGTAGCAGGTACATCAGCAAATCCTCACGGAGGGAAAAATAACAAAAAGTGAAGGGGTCAGTCAAAGCTGACTAGGACTCAATCTGTTTTTTAAATTCTCGTTTAGAGAAAAACTGACTCAGGATTCAGTGACCTATAAAGAAATGGAAATTAGAGTCTCCCTAGCAAGCAATATACAATAAAAAAAAAAAACTAGTGAAGGATGGAGTTTCACTCCCAAAATATACTGAGCTATCACAATATTAGCTTCCTGTTAATTAGCTCTTACTATCTTTATGTAAGTAAAATATTTAAGTGCAACTGCTACTTTAATGTTCTCCTCTGTTAAGCCGCCCTACCTACTTGCTTCCAGCATCCACAAAACAAACCTTTCAGTAAACCTTTCAGATCTCAAGAAGACAATTCAAGCACAAAATCTGGACCATGGTACCAGGAATTCTGATCCACTCCTCTTAGGCACCCTTTTTTTTTCCCCTCTAACATCACTTGTATAGCTGGGGATACAAAAAAATCAAACCACCACATATCTGATCTATTTGAGACTGAAGAATAGAATTTTAATCACTTGCTGGTTATAATTAATATGTTTCCTCTGCTATTCAATTTATTCTGTTTAGTTGCCTTCAAATGTTTCGTAAAGGGTACATTTTTAAAGTCAAAGCAGCACACCCTTGGCTAATTAAGTGGGCTTGCAGAAGTCTGACACATTTATGCATCCCATTTTAAACTCTGTTGATTGCCACAAATTCAAGAGTTATGGTAATACATTCAAAGTATTTTTTTTCACTGTCAAAACAAAATAAAGTATTTAAATAATTACAATTTAACAGATTAGCATCTATTAAGTAGGCTCTACGCACAAATCACAACTCATCATATCCTAATCAGTATACAATTAGAAACATCTTATTTCCACAGATGCTTTTCTATTTAGTTTCTTTAGGAAAAGATTATGACAATATACTCCTTCAATTTACCAGGTGGATTTGTTGGAAATGTTTCAGTAGACTAAGTTCAGAGCACTTCTATGCAGGTTAACATTCAAAATTTTTCACTTGTTTCTGGAAGAACATTTGGTTGTTTGACCTTGTTTGACAAAAACCAGCTATCACTGGCTGTTCACACTAAGACAAGTATCAATGAGTACCACTTAATAATGTGAAGACCTTGCTCCCTAAAGAGTTTAGAGTAAATAGCATCTACGTGAATTTTCCTTTATTAAAAAAAAATAAATCCATCACTATTACTCCTTTAAATGCCTTAAAAAGTAGCAAACATTTCAAGTACTCAATGAAACTAAAAATCCTGAGACCAGCTGAGTTTCACATCACCTACAGGCCAATGAGTACCTCATCATCAGCCTGCTGAAGCCTGGCAACAGCATAGCGCCGAACTGTTGGATTGGTGAAGTGAGATGACAGAAGTTCTAGAGAGTCTTCGACATCCATAGGCTTCCACTTGCCCAGTAGCTCCAGTGCTTGCTTTGCCTCCTGTGGTAGGTCCCAGTTGACACATTTTAAGAATTTTGTCAAGGCCTAAATAGAAAGATTGGACAATTCATCAGTGAAGGACAATTCCTCAGTGAAACACCAGACTAAACAAATTATTTCAGAATTTGTTTCATCTTTAGGTAGAACTAGATTCAGACTGTATTTACATAAGCACAGACCAAAGGAATCTTACTGATGTTAAAACAATCCAATATTGTATTAACACATGTCCCAAAAAGGCTGCAGCTGGGTTGTCTTATAAGTATAATATAAAGTCAATGGTTACTGCGCTACCACAATTACCACTACATAAAAAAAATGCCCACTGCTGCAGGACTGTTTAGTTATTTGATTTACTTTAGGCTTTTGATGTGCTACTACTTAATTTCGGTAATGCTAACCCTTGTCTAAAAGGGATGAGGAAGCTCCTCTTCAATAATTCTTCACTGAAGACAAAATAGACGTATGTATTTTAAGCTGACAGTCAGCATCTGTAGAAAGATTGCTGTGGTAACAGCTAGTTCATATGATTTAAGGGAAAAATATTTACATGAGTAACAGTGTAGAAGAAGTTAAAATAACCTCAACTAGCTTCAAAGACTCTGAAGCTCTCCATCTCTGCAAGGACAGAACATTGTAGCATGAGTGCCAGATGAAGCAACTCTTGCATTAACAAGTTTTCTCACACCATTTGACTTACCTTCTCTTGATTAGTAAGGTAATATCTGAACTTCCAAACTAGATCCTGTTCCTCATACGTTAGCTGCTTTGTTGGTGGATAACTCACTATGATCTGTTAAACACATAGTCAGAAAGGGAGGTTAAAAACATGAACAAGCAGAATCAACAAATCCAAAGACTATGCTGTGACAAAACAAAGCACTGACAACACACAAAAACAGCTAGGAAAAAGCAGCTTTCCAACAACAAAGTTCCTATGCTATCATGGTGATGCTTCTCTGTTATGTAGTTGATAAAAGCTGTATTTTCCTTAAATGGTCACCATATATTAGTACAAATCTATCTAATAAAATTAAATTTAGCCAACATGTGAGTGACTTACATTAAGCTGATCTCGTGTAGCTGCGTTAGGCTTCAGATCATGATCAGAGGGTCCACTTCTTAAGCTTCGAGCAAGCTTGTGATGTTTGCTTTCTACTAAGTTCTCCTAAATGCAGAGGGTAAGTTAGTATTTATAAATACTTTACAGAAAATTACTGCTAGAATGAAACCATCAAGCAAAGACTCACCAGTATCTTGAATAACGCATGACAACTAAAATTCACATCTAAAACTACAGCATCTTCTGGATTTTTCGTCGTTGTTTTAGATGAAACCACTTCAATAACATGTGCTGGGTTCTTGGGGATTCTGAGTTTAGGTTTTTTGGTTTTTGTTTTTTTTTTTTTACTTCACACAATTTACAAACCTTATCTTGCCTTTTGGTGATTTGCGGCAAAATGCAAGCGCTTCAGTCAACACATCTGTGATTCAGACAGCACTCAAACGTGCTAGCCGCTTCATAAATGCTTTCAGGGCATTTGCAGTATAAAGCTTTGTATGCAAGAAAAACTTCTCAAAAAGTTTTCCCACTGTTAATACCATGTTAGCAACAGTAGGAGCCACAAGAGGAGCCACAGTGTCAACAAGATTTCAGCAGCCAAGGCAGTTTTCAGCATTGTCAGACTTGCTCTTGCAGTGTTAGATTGTACAGTGCTCAAACAGTGTTGCCAGTAGAAGCCCACTTACATTAAGGTTCCCAAAGCTGCCAATACCAGTCCCACTGAATTGGCATCCACAATAATGGAAATCTTTTCTAGAACTGTACTTAGGCACTGTCTACATGAAAGACAACATACAAGAGAGTGTAGGGAGAAAATATTTTAACAGATGAAGTGATGAAGAGTTACTGAACTTTCCTCTAAGTTTTTTGCAGCTCCCTCTTACCTTACATTCCCACCCCCTGACCTCTTCTGCCAACAATCCCCCTGCTCTGCTGTCCTACACCTCAGAAGCAAGCACATAAGATATGGAAAAGAGGAGATGAACACAAGCATTAAATTAATTATTGAATTTTAATCTAGCAGCAGTAGGAAAAAAAGAAGTCAAACCTACTAGTATTTCTCAACTGGTCAAATACACCTTTCCACTGAAATTTTAAAACACTGAAGATAGCAATATAAGCAAGCTTTCATCTCCCTTCATGAAAACTTCAATAAAAATAGTGTAATACAGATAGAATACCATGGAGCATGCTTACCATAGACATCTGAGGATCTGGAATCTTAACAATTTCAGAACTTGTTAAAATTGAAGATGACTCATCACCATCCTGAACAACATGAAGTTAAAGGCATGTTAAACATCAAGATTTTTGGAGAAAAACAATGTCATATTCACGTATTATGTACAGTGGAAGAATGATCTAACCACACCTTGCTGACTTTTAACAGTTTTAAAGGGGAAAACAGAAAATAAGAAATGGATTCTTTTTCTTGTTAGTTTTTGCCACATGATGAACAAGAGATGGTGGCAAGAGAGAAAAAAGTCGATCCTAGGAGACTCAGCTTGGCAACTCACTACCATGCTGGCACACAGGTGAGTGGAGAAATTTGCCATTATCATGAGACATGTCCTCTGGAAGCAGAGAAGGTGAATCAGGGTCCAAATTTCCACCAAAACCTAATTGTTTCCTAGAAATAACAACCATGTTGCAGAAAATATCTCCTAACACTTCAACACAGATGAATTTAGGAAGTTATGTGTGTGCCTATCTATCACGGGTTCCACATGGAGCATGACAGTCTCTTCTACAAGTTCATGCTGTGCTCTGGAGCACTACAACAGGAACCTGTCAGTCTTCTTTAGAGGAGTCTAACCTGCTGCCACATAAATAACAGAAAGGAGAAGAAAGAAACTTCCCATTTGAATCAGGCAGACGGAAAGCATGCAAGGTCTGCCACCACATGACAAAAAAAAGTGCTTCCCTCTTCCAGTCACAGACAGCATTATTTTCACTTCAGAAGTGTAACTAAGCACCAACTGGCATGATCTATGAAAGAACATTTCAGTTAAAGGACAGTATAAACCAGTAAAACAGAAACAACAACAAGACTACACCAGGATAATTTGCTGTGCTATGCTATGTTTACACTTAGCTTGTTCTCATTTATTCTGTACTAAATTTCAGCTCATAATGATATTTTTTTGACATATGAACATTTCCCTTGGTAATGTAAGTTTTGAAATAACCTGTCCATGTTTGCTTCTGCTCCTACTCTCTTTTTTTCCCCCTCTCTCCTGCGTTTCCTACCACTTATGCCTCTGGGGCTGGCTTTGCTTTTATACTTTTCAGAGGTAACTTTAAAAGAAGCAAGGGGCTCGTATCAAGGGCAAGAAAAAGATCAATTGTCACCAACAAGACACAGCAGTTAAAATTGCCATTAACCTTGCAGCAGAAACGTTTTTTTCCCAGCTACATAAATTTTGCATTGCTGACTACAGTAAAAGATCTCTTATTATTAAAATGCACATTTGGGAAGACACTCCTATTACATTTATTAGTTTCCTATGCCTTTCTGCAGTAAAAAATTTAGTCAAAGTAATGACAGTAACTACACCCATATCCTTCCTATTTAAGAGAAATACACACACAATCTGGTTGTGGCTGATGATGATCCTAACTTGTGTAGGATTCCTTTTCCCATTACTCTTTAAAGTACACATGCAAACACCAAAGAGGACATTTGCTTACAGTTTTTGTTTTAATACCATATTGCCTAAATAATAATCTTAGCTTCAACCTAACAGTATGTAAATAATATTAATTCTAAAGTAATTATTGTACTAAAACCTTTGCCACCTCCTTAGATGGAACTTTCAGATCAGAACATGTTATACTAGCTTTAGAAAGACAAATTACATAAAAAACAATGAAATTGATTGGGGTGGAAAGGGAAATTCTTCTGAAAATAAACATAACTGATGACAAGAGATGACAGACCGATTTCTATCTACTAACTGGTTATCTTCCTAATCAAAACCATAATAAGGCTGCAATCTGACTTGACCTTTATAAAACAACAAAGGATTACCAAGGCCTCAGTGACAAACCAGTTCCTACTCTGTTTATGGCCTTCACAGACAACTGCTGTGGGAAAAACTTGACACAGGAGTGGATTCACTAGCAACTAGCAAATCTTCAAACTCCTACTGAGGCATTTATAACACCCATATTCCACAGGGATCCTCTAGGGATAAGCAGCAGGAACACCCATACTACTACAATTTTCTCTCAGTGAAAACATTCAGATAATATATCTATAAAAGGAGAGTCCAACAAAGCTTTTAGGCTGATAAAAATGGAGCACTCATCCCACAGTAAAAGGCCTATGACAGCTATTACCAACTCAGAACTTACTAGGATGAAGATGACAAAAGCACAATTGCCTAAAATTTGCTTACTTACAAAACTAAAACAAAGAAAACCACACAAAGCCTTCCAGTGACTAATGTCAAAATATTTATAACGCCTTTGAAAACCAAGATTGAGGATTTTTTCCCAAGACTAGTGTTAAAAGCATGATTTCTAAACTCATTGGCGACATATCTTTTTTTAATCTTTTGTAAGAAAATATTTTAATGGCTTTTCTTTAAAAACTCTTCTTCTCAAACGCAGCTAGATTATGCTGAAGAGCCAAGGTCAAAAGCTCTATTTATTCAGCGGAAACATTAGGAAAACTTTCTTCCCACTGCATTTTAGAGCAAAGCCTTAAGCTTCAACCAAAGCTTGCTATGAAACCACATTTTGCCAAAGCTTTCGTGGGACAAGTTACTGTGTCAGAAGCTTACATTTTCAGAACAAACTATTTCATTAACTACTCAAGAAGGCACAATGCCCATGAGGTATGTCAGTTGTTTAACTTAGCCTCCCAATTAGATAAACACAGGGCGCTCATATTCAGAGAGCATCGCACGGATCACTGTAACCCTGACTGTACAAACTTACTAAACTGTACTAGTGCCTGAGGGTCAGCTCAAAATGAGCATTTTAATTTGGTCAGGTGCATGCTTTTGAAGTGTCTCTCCTGATCGTCCCCATGTAGGGAACTTTGGATTGTATCAGAGAGGTTTCAGAAATACCCAATATCTTCCAAGTGCCAACAGTCACTCAGACCACAGGACTTGATTAAAGCAAGCCCCAAGCATAAGAACACAGCGCAGGCATTGAGCCCTCAGCAACAACTTCACTCCGTAAATCTGTTCCTCTTGGCTGCATTAATTGCTAGCACAGCCAGAACCTGAGATGACCTGCTATTTCACTGTGGGGAAGCAAAAGCAACACAGACACTAAACAGCATTAAGATGTTTTAAACTAACATGTTAGAGATTTAGAGGCATTTCACTACCTTAAGATCAGCATGTGTGGCATTTATAAATATTAGAGTTCACTTAAATTAAAAAAAAAAAACAAAAAAAACCCCACAAAATTGCAGAATTTTTTGAGCCACAAATTTGTTCTGCACTTTCCTGAAAATCATTTCTACATCAATAAGTAAGGAGGTTCTATTTATCATATTTTTTAGTCAAAACATCATTTCAAGTAATACCAGTGGGATCCAACTTCTCCTAAACAAAAAGTAAGCAGACACTCAATGCTGCAGACACTATCTGTATTTTTTTTCAAGCTATGAAAAAGGCTGATAATGAGACTACTCTTTCTATAAACCAGATGCAGCACTGTAATCAATTTATTTATTCAAACCAAGGTTTCTCTTGACATCTACACAAAAACATATTCATGATAAATGTTGGTGTTATTTGCACTTGAAAGTCACGCTGAATTCTTGTCTAAATGGAGAATAAGAAGCGATGCTCTCGTTACTAGCAGACTGTTATCCTTCACACCTTGAACGCTATATTAAAATTAACAGAGAACACAGAGCCACTGCCACTTCACCGTAATTGAATGTTGAGTCAAAGAATCTCAAATTCCATCAGCCACTGTTTAACAGGCTAGTTCTTCGTAAACACTTGAAAACAAATTCATCAACAGAACTGTGACAAGTAATCTCCAGTTCGACTATCGGTCACAGGCAGGTGACAACATAACCTACTTCCATTAGACTCAATATACTGGCTTGGCGATGCTGGGTATGTATACTGTACGCTGTAATTGGAAGCATGACAAAACTGAGAAGATAGGCACTAATTTATGTAGTTTCCTACTGCTGCCATAAAAGGGTCAAGAACTTGTTGAAAAGCTACTTTGTAACAACAAATCCCTCAAATTGCAGTTAGTTATGGCTTTAATATGTCCCATTACACTTTCAGTTACTTTCTTTACACAAGAGCAGCCAATTCATAGTTACTTTGTTCCATGCACTTCTCATGTTTCAGAAACTTCTGTTAAAAGATACATGCTTGAAGTCTGAATCCTCTTCACCGCACCTTGTACATCTGTAAAACCATAACGGTGACAACAACAGTTGCCTGTGTAAATCAGGAACAATTTATCTTTAGTGGTAGTTTACTGTAGGTGAGCAAGACAAATCAGTTTTAGAAGTGTCACATTCAACTATCAAAATAAAAGAGCCAAAAGGACATAAAGCCACATGATGGTGATCCTCTACAGTCTGCACCTCTACAAGCACAGCATGTTCTAATGCAAAAAGCTAATGGTTAGTAAAGTGTTTCAATATTTGGATCATACTCCATTGTGCTCTCCAGAAAAATACTTCCTTGATTTCCACAGAGGTAAGTAACTTCATTTTGATTCATGGTGGAATCTGACATGTTGTAGGTTTCACTCCTATTTGTAACACAAGGGAGTTCTGTGACAGTAAGGTCCTCTACCATAGCTGGTTCTAGAAGTTGCCAGAAGCGCTATGAAACAAGCTGTTCTAAAGGCAACAAGACTCAGAAAGGTGGGAAGAGGTCCCATTGTCAACTACAGTTCACCAAAACAAACACTAAAGAGCTGCTTGGACACTCAGGCAGGAAGCTAAGTAAGTTTTTGACCTAGACAGAGTTTCACCAAAAATTTATATCTTTTTTTCACCTCATCCTCAACTTCGCGGAATCCTGCTTTTTGCAATTAATTACCGTATCTTTCACTACCTTATTCTAGAACCTTGTTGGATCACAGTTCTGCTGCCCAAATCAACTGGCAATGTGGTCACATACATTGGAATACTTGTAATCTATTTTCCATTTTATTTATGTTTTTTGTACTGAATTAGCTTTTTCAAAATTCTCAGAATAGACTCTCCTTAAAGTTAGTGCCTCTGTTCTCAATATGACTCCAGTCTGTGTCTGTCTTCTGGCTCTTTCCCATAAAGCTGCATTATTCAGTGACTTTCTAATTTCTTAAAAATCTAAACATGCTGAAAACTGAGAGGTAATTACTGACTTTAAAAAAAACAGACTACAGATATGCTGATTTTTCAGTGCACAGGTCCATAAAAGTACTGACGCCTCCCAAAGCCATGTTGACGTCTGTTAAGCTCACTGTTAATTCTCATTAAAAAAAAAAAAAAACCAACAAAAAAAAACAGAGAGCACTGCTTTGGAGATCTGTTTTGTAAACAGAAAGAAAAGATGCAAGACATTCCAATTCAGAAATTTTACTTAATTGACTTCCAATGCATTTTCAGCATGAGAGACTAAACTTCTATACTTGTTTAAAGAAAAAGTTCACCCGCAGGGTTCCTGCGCAAAGTTTTAATAACTTATCTTTCATAAAGTTACCAATCAATACAGGTACATTTCTTCCTGATGTAAGACGTAATTTTACATACGGCTACTCTGAAAGTACTGCTGGATGACTGAAGGAACCATAAATCAGAAAGTTTTTAATCACCCACACTTATTAAACTGTGTAATTTTGAACTGCATTACACGAATGATTGACTTCTGCAATCTTGTTGCACCTATACCATTTGATTTGTGTGTACATAAACAGTTCCCACTGACAGCTGTCTGCCACTGCCCTGCAGTGGAATATTTCACCTCAGCAGAAAATTTTAGGTGCGTACGTTGCTTTTTAGAGACAACCATAAAGCCTGCAAGGCACATACCTTCTCGTAGTAAACTATTCCATATTCTTTATCATCACACTTGACGCAACGGAATTCAATCATCAGGTACATAAAATTAGAACTTCGTTTTTCCCTCTGAGGAGAGAGCCACCACAGATGTGTATCACACATTAACATGCATAAATCTTCAGCATTCTCAGTACAGCAATTACCCTCCTTCCTTTGTGCTGCAACTGATTAATCAGATTATCAGTTGTTGTGACAATTATTCAGTTAATATTTCATAGCACTACTTGAGACCGTATCACCTTCTTCCTGATGTTCTTACTTCCTTATTTTTCCACACAGAGTAACAGATAAAAAACACATTGTTCTCATCAGTGACTTGCAACTGGGCACTAAAGCTGCAGGTTTTGTGTTGAGTTGCTTTTTGGTTTTGGAGTTTTTGTTTTATTTTTGGGTTTTGTTTTTGTTTTTTTAAATCACTGAACACAATCATGCATGTCAGAGTCAGAAAACAGAAGATAAAAAAATGAAAATAGCACTGTTTTAGAACCATGAAAGAAACAAATTAAACTTGGACTACAAGATTAGATTTGCAGCTCATTCACTTTCAGAGGAACATTTGCTCAGGTATGCATTTTTGAAACGCTTTACCTAAAAAAGTGCTTAGAATTTTAAAATCTAGGTGGGAAACAAGAAGCTATACATAAACACCACCAAAATCATATTTAATACAAAAAATAAGCACCCCTTTTAGTAACAATCAACTTAAGCTCATTTTACGTATTAATAGTGGATTGACTTTCCAGGACAGGTAAAATGGTTCTGCATTTAAGGCCCAGCTCTAGGGATCAGGTATTTTTAAGTTTTCTGTATTTTTACAGTTGAGATCTCAAAAAAAAGAAAAAAAAAGGGGGGTTTACACAAAACACAAAGTTAAGTTAAAAATACTCTGACTTCTGGAGGTCTAATTGTAAATAAGGCAACAAAACACTCTGCAATGCAGAAAACAAAGAAGTTTTGTTGTGCAAGATGCGTTTGGGCACAATTTTGCTCAATGAGGGTTAACACCTTATTCAGATATTTAGCTACCAGATTTATTTTTTTTTTTTAAATCATTCAAATTATACAACTGTTTTTCCTCAGCACCCAAAATCAAAAACAAAAGAGCTGAATAGGTCTAGCCTGTACATCCAAAAAGCTTCTCATCACAATCTAAATCCTGGAGTAAAGTTCTTCATAGCTAACAGCATTTGTTCCAAGCTGTTCCAAATTACTAATTCTTCTGTGATCAGGTCCATTTGAAGCTGACAAGTGGTAAGACATCTGTCTGTTTTCATTACTGTCAAAGTAAAATCCACTTCGGAAACTTAAAAGATTTTTTCTTCCTTTTATCAGATACATGGCTGGTTGAAGATAAACAGAGTAAGTGTTTGAGTCAGACTCCTAAGCAAGCTGAGGTTCCATATTAGCAAGATTCCAAAACACATTTCAAATCTGATGTATGATGGCCTACCTCATTGATCATTTCTATTTCTCTAAAGGTCAGTCTGTCCAGCCAATCCACTTTCACCATATGACCTTGACGATGAGACTTGGTGAGCTGCATGAAAACACAATGGTAAAATTTAAATTGCTAAGAGAAAGGAAAAAAAAAAGGAAAAGAAAATAAAAGAATATATACGTCATAATCTTAGGGACACTAACGCAAAAATCAGGGGGAAAAAATAAAGGAAGCGGAAAAAGTTGTTTGTACAGTACACATGCAGCACATCCTTGTAAACAGCTGAGATACGCTAATTCTAACATCTAAAATATCAGTCATGCCAAAAAACAAAACCACAGTCCAAGTGCATCATCACTGAATATTTAACACATTAAAAACAGGAACCTACTTTTTAAAGTCAAGTCACATAAAAATTTGTGTGTGTGTGGGCTACTAAGTTTCATACAGTAAAACTTACCAAGTCAAACAAAAACAAAGACATTCCAAAAAAGACTTCCAAACTTAGTAATTCTGCCCTTGTTACCCTTACCAAAATAAGTTCTTAGACTGGGACTTACACAAAGGTCAGCCTAAGCCTTTTTCACAGCAAGTCATAAACAGCTTGGTCTCCCTTTCATTTTAGTCATCTGAAAAGTAGTTCAAGTTTTACTCCTACATCCACATATTGCTGTAGTAATAGCAAGGAAGTTGAGTTGTTTAAAAGGCTACCTAACAGCAGAAGAGTGGAAGAGAAGGTAAGATAGATACGAGTCATACTACCAGTTTCATATGCACTGACACAGAATAGGTTATGACACATTCAGAAAACCAGAAAGACGCAAACAGGAATCATTTTTTTGGCTCCTAAGAAATCACAAGTGTTCCTCAAAAAATTAGTAATTCTTGCAGCATACATGATGCAAGAAGGGATGCAAAGGGACTAAAAGACATCAAGTTATTATGTCTCAAAAACTGCTAGTGAAGAGACCTTCAAAGTTATTCCTGTTAAGGGAAGGGTTACAACTAATACTTCATCAGCTTTGTTCTGTGGTCAACCTGCCCACCCAAGAGCACTTAAATCTGAACAGGCCATACAGTCACACCGACCACCACCTCTGGCCCAGCTGACAGCTAAGGGACAGGCAATACAGAGACCTAGGGGAGCACATGGATAGAAGGCATTGTATGCAAGAGAATACGACAGCCTACTTCTTCCATATAGAACTTGAGATAAGGTTACTACCTAGAAAATGACACGGAAGACTTAAAACTTGATACATGCTGAAAGCTGTCTAGGTTGCACAGTTTGTCAGATTCCCATGCTAGTCTTTCAGTAGCTCACCACTACAGATACAAAAAAACCCAAACCACTGTGAATAACAAAAAAAAGGTTAAGCATTTACACTAGTAGTACTGTTTCATTATTCTCACTCAAATCCGCAGTAAACCGATGCCTTCGCACTACAGATGTGTTACACACCAAGGATGACCTGGACCGAATAGAAACCTCATCATGACACACTCTGGAAAGAGCATCAACCTCATATCCAGGTACAGATCCTGACAGATCTGGAGAGTAGATAAATAAACTCAAATGAAGCCAAGCTTCAGAAATCATGCAGAATCAAATAGTTTTTTACATCTCTTAGAAGCAATGCTGACATAACAGTCAAATAATTTTCTAGTCTCCAAAGACTGTAAACGGCCAATAAAACCATTAACGACATGCAATTTCAGTGTCCTGCAGTCTCCCTGCAGGTGTTCCTATACGAGTGGAACAGCTACGACAAAAGATCCGCTGGTAAACATTCATCCTTGTCTTTTAACACCTTGTCCCTTCACATCCAACAACAGACTCTCTCTCTTGTTCACTTTCCACAAAGTGACTTCTTGCTGTTTAAGACAGGCTCATTATTTTGTTGGGTTTTTTGTTTGTTTTGCTTTGTTTTCATTTTTTTCTCTTATTTACCTCCCCAGAGTTTAATTTGGTGTTATGGTCTAACAACACTTCAGATACTATTTCCTACCTTTAAGTAGGAAACAAAACTCCCAATTAATCGTTCTCTTGGAAACATTCTGTCAGAAATCTGGAATATGCTACAGCCCACACCATGGTCTCTGTGTCCTCTTAAGACCTGAATTTAACTTTAAGGCAGATTCCATAAGAAAGCAAGTATGATATTTACCTCTGAATGCCAATAAATACTCATTTCACAAAAACATTTTATAATTGTGTTTTTGACTTTTGTTTCCTACTAAGTCTGCTAGAGATAAGGTTTAAAATATTCCACTGAATATTAATCCTCAGCTATAGTTACTGGCTTTACCAAAGTAAAAGACTAATCAGAAGCAGTCACAATATAAAAAGCAGTCAAAACAATCCTGCCTTTTTTTCCCCCCAGATTTGCTAGGAACTAGCCATTTCAAGAAGCACTAAACAGTAAGTTAGCCATGAGCATCTGATGACCTTTGTTCTGAACTCATTCCACGAAATACAAAAAACAATCCCATAACAACTATGCAATTGTTAGCTTAAAGCAGCTGATTCACCTAACCTTTATTTAAGCTCTAGGCCACAATACAGCTTGACAGAAGTAATAAGATTTTGATGGAAATTTTGGAAAACCAGTGCAACTTCTGAGAATCAATTAACTCTGTATACAGTAGGCATTTCTTTTGTTTGTTTTGTTGCCAGTAAACTCTGGGACAGCTTATCTCCAGGATTAGCTTCAATGAACTTCAGAAACTTAACAGTACAGAAAGAATAGGAAGGGCAGGATGGGCAAAGTATAATCCTTAATAACATTTCAGGATGCTGGATGTAACCAAAGCACAGAAACTCAGTCTCCGGGTGCTTTCAACTTACCACCGAGACTGTAAACAGGAGCACAACATAGGAATTATTTTCGCTATCTTACACTATATTCTGCAACTGGTTCATCAAATTCTATCTCAGAAATATTACAGAGACAGAATGTGCCAAGACTATACTAAAAGGATAACACAAGACTTGCCCCTTGCAACATATGTGACTTTACAATGTATTTCAAAGATAGGGAACCAGTAGCTTGCAGACCCGTTATAACCCAAAACACTGCTTCAGGCAGGCTGGACATCATCACCTAATACATTCACAAATGTCCTACCTATTTCACAGAGAAGCTCTTCTCATCCTCAGCAATGAAGAAATTTCATACCCTTATATGTTCACCATTCTAGCCATTTCTAAATTACGCCCTACCTTTTTCTTTTTTAATCTGCAAAAATATTATTGGTAAAAATCAAGGCAACCCTCTTATTTCTACTGTCTTAAACCAATGCATCAATATTTTCAGAATACCACATATTCACATCCAGCATTGATTGATCAAAACCTTGGGAAAAAAGTTACTTAGATACCTTAGTCACAAACTCTTATTTCATTTTCTTGTTCACTGCACTAGAGAATAAAGAAAAACGTAATTTTATGTTTTAGAGTAAAATTAATAATTTCTTAAACCTGAAAACCTCCCTTACAGAGAGGAAACAAAAGTCATAATACCCCAACTGGTTACACCTGCACACAAGACCCAGAAGATCTGTAGACATATACATATATACACAAAGAACGGCTATTGTGGATTAATATTTAAAGCTTAAAACAAGAGAGAAGCCAGTGTATTTCCTTTAGGGAAAAGGGCATTCATCATCTGACACTAAATAAGAGGCATTCCTTCAGATACTATCTTACTATTGCTATTATTCAAATTACCATTCAGCCAGCAAAAGGTATGAGGGAAATGAATGGATTAAAAAAAAAAACCAACAACAAAACAAACTTTGAGTACTTTTGGTTTCAGTGGAATAAATTAACACAACACTCATGGGAGAAACATCTTAGTGGTATTAACATTTGAGCATGCTAAGGTATTCCACATTCTTCCCATTAACATCCTTCAGTACAGGAAAGAAATCTGCAATCACAATGACCCCCAGGATGCAAAACCATAGCTTTTTTATCAGTAGCAATTTTACAAGCAATATTCATGTGCTTTGTAAGAGCATAACCATATGGCACCTCAACATGAAATGAAAGGCTTGCCACAGTATTAATTTTTTAAGGTAAAAGATGCAAATCCTCCAAATCCTCCAGCAGCCAGTCATTGATTTTACACAAATTCTTTATTATAACAGATAACACACACAAACTCAGAAGCACATCAAGAAAATAAAAAGCTATCTTTTATATGGAGAAATGGTCCTTCAGCAACCTCTTCCTGAAAGTTATTTATTACCTGGAGGACTCTAATTTGGCCCTTGGTATCAAACTTCAATCAGTAGCATGACACTTATAAATGGTAAGTTTGTTCAGCAGATAAACAGAAAGAAACAAACCAAGAATAACACAGTTGACACAAAGTCATCTTGTATTTAATCAGTCCTACTCCTCTTACCTGTATTTAAATATACCCTCACATACAGTAGCATCAGGAGGCATTCAGCAACTGATCAGTAACATAGAAAAACTGAAGCTGACTGTAATCAAACAATGGTTATTTAGGAATGATAAAACAAAAGAACCTCATCTGCTGTGTAAACAGCTGAGTAAATTGAAGTTCTCAGACACACTTCCCAGAAACCCTATTCACTGCACTTGCAACCGATGGTAAAATGTTTTTGCAAATGAACACAACAAAGCATCGGTGAAAACACTCTTGTCTTTCAGAAATTACTATCTCCAAAAACGGTTTTCAGAAGAAAAGAGTGGTGGCAGTGGTATTACTAGCTTTTATTAGCCCTTAACCAGAAATCTCAATTAGGATGTGAAAGGAGAATTCCCTCCTCTTCCTCAGAGACTTTCAGTCCTTATCTTCCATACACCAAGAGAAGAGGCAAGAACAGACCCAGGTATTTCAAGACTGAAATACTCTACATTATTTGTATTTCTCAAGCTAGGCAGAATGAAGGAGTGAAAGGAAGAAGAGGAAAAATACTGGTAGTGTATGGTCATGTTTGCATAAAGGAACATGAAAGACCTGGACTTGTGCAAAACGTTTGACACTGTCACACATGACATACCGGTCACTAGACTGGAGAAGTGTGCATGTGATGGAAGGGCCAATCACTGGATAAGGAATTGGCTGGATGGTCACACTCAGTTGCGGTCAACGGCTCAATGTCCAAATGGAGACCAGAGACGAGTGGTGTTCCCCAGGGATCAGTACTGGGACAGGTTCTGTTTAACATCTTTGTGGGTGACAAGAACAGTGGAATTGAGTGCACCCTCAGCAAGTCTGCAGATGACACCAAGCTGTGTGGTGCAGTTGACACGCTGGAAGGAAGGGATGCCATCCAGAGGGGCCTGGACAGGCTGGAGAGGTGGGCCCAGGTGAACCTCATGAAGTTCAATAAGGCCAAATGCAAGGTCCTGCACCAAGGTAGGGGCAGTCCCAAACACAAATACAGGCTGAGAGGAGAATGGCTTGAGAACAGACCCGAGGGGAAGGACTTGGGGCTGTCAGTCAATGAAGAACTCAACATGAGACAGCAATGCGCTTGCAGCCCTGATGGCCACATCCTGGGCTGCACCAAAAGCAGCATGGCCAGCAGGGCCAGGGAGGTGATTCTGTCCCTCTGCTCTGCTCTGGTGAGACCCCACCTGCAGTGCTGCATCCAGTTCTGGCGCCATGAATATAAGAAGGACATCGAGCTGTTGGATCAGGTCCAGCAGAGTGCCATGAAGATGATCAGGGGCTGGAGCACCTCCTCTACAAGGATCGGCTCAGAGAGTCGGGGCTGCTCAGCCTGGAGAAGAAAAGGCTCCAGGAGGACCTTACTGCAGCCTTCCAGTTCCTGAAGGGACCCTGGGGAAGGACTAGGAAAGCTGGGGAGTGACGTTTTACAAGAGCAGCTAGCAACAGAACAAGCGGGAATGGTTTTAAGCTGGAAGAGGGGAGATTTAGACTGGATATTAGGAAGAAATTGTTTACTGTGAGGGTGGTGAGACACTCCCTGGAAGTGTTAAAGGCCAGGTTGGATGGGGCTTTGAGCAGCCTAGGCTGGTAGGAGGTGTCCCTGCCCATGGCAGGGGGGGTGGGCTGGGTGGTCTT